CCCAAAACCCCAAAACCCCAAAACCCCAAAACCCCAAAACCCCTTAGATTAGTTATGAGATTGTTATTTAAATTTGTGAATAGAAAATGTTAGAATTTGTTTGACCTGATTTCTGCATCAGAAAATCTCTTGTAATCAAGAGATTCTCTATTGTATTCAACTATAATTGAAAAAGAAAGAGGCGCTAAGGGCTTTAACTCATCTAAATTGATCCTTCCTTCTTAAGAAATTAACCCATTAGGCTTTTTCCGTAACAAAAGTTCTCACTGCTGTATTCTGGCGTCCTTCTGCTCTATAACTTTCCGCATCTCATTCAATTCCTTCCTTAATTCCATATTTTCCTTGACCAATTCATCTTTACTCTTCTCTTCCTCCTGTTCTCTCTTCCTACTCCTGCCCAGATTAACTTTAAAAGTCTTTTTCTCAGACATCCCACCTATCTCCGAACCTTCATAATCATTCTCTATCGCATTCATCGCAATCTTCATCCTCTGCTCCCTAATAACCCCATCCTTCCTCTTCAAAGCCTCCTGTAACTCCTTAATCTGCTGCTTCATCCCACCTACATCCCCCGTTGAACTACTCCCTTGACCTGGCCTATATGCTAAATTTTCATTCAGCCTTGTCAAGGAAGGAATTTTAAATTTTGTTCTGAAACTTCTCGCCCATGCTTATTGGTAAAGTGCTGTTCAGTGAGAGGCCGTCGCGAGGAAGCATCTTGCGGTGGCTCCGCAAGCTGGGGTTTAGGCTATCGGTTTTGGCAGGAGGCTGGTCCCCGCTGAAGATATTACTCTTGTTTCGTCTATTTTGAAGTGACTTTTTGGAGGTTGAGTGCACCACTGAGGGATGGGTTGTTGAAGCCTTTGAGAAGGCTTTGTCTTAAGGTCATCCGGGGTTTGGATTTTCTGCTAGCGGGTTTGGAGGTCATTCCTGGCTCGAAGGAAGGCATTGACATTGGGTTGTATTCTAAGGAGGAGTTACGTGTATTTCATTTAATTCAAATCCGTCAGTCCATCCTCAGTCACATACATCCTATTCCTTCCTCTACTGCCCACTTCCGGCATTGTTATGTCTTCTTTATACTTACTAAAATACTTCCGTTCAGTCGCAGTTCCATTATGATGAGTCATGTTCAAACAAATTTATTAGTTCAGTTTTAAGGTAGGAAAAAGGGGTTTTGGGGTTTTGGGGTTTTGGGGTTTTGGGG